GCCCACCCCAATCATTCTGATTTTGTACAGGTATCTCGTGTATCTGTGGCTGATTGCCACTGTTCCCTTCATCTAATCATGTGTTCATTTTCTTTCCCTTGGCTTAGCTTCTAGGGTGGCTGTGGATGTCTGCAGCAGCTGGCCAAGGAGGGTGGCCTCCCCAAGGACTTGTCCTGCTTGTAGTCCTGTGACTGGCTTAACCGTGCCCTTGGCCTTGCTGCTTCTTTCTGCTTCCTCATGAAATGAGTGCATGGCACTAAGAGTCCTGCCAAGGCAGGGGTGACTTACAGCAAACCTCTCCCAGGAAAACTCTGCAAGCCCAAGGGTGGCCTTGAGGTCATTGGGGACACTCTTGGCAGAGAAAATAAGCAGAGCTGTTGGCTTGAGGGCTCCCATTACACTCCCTTGTGTAGTGGAATGTCAAACATGTTTGTGTGTTATGTTTGGGACTGTCACTTGACCGCTGTCTGTCTCCCATTGTGCTGCTCCCCAAAGCCTGCGCACAGCCGTGCTCTGAACAAGCCATCATTCAACCTCTTTCAAGTAGAGACGGGGGGGGGGGGAAACATAGCTTTTTTTTTTTGTCTGGCTTACTGACACTCCTTTTCCTGGTCTAGTGATGCCTTGAAGTGAATGCCCTGGGCTTCTCCCACTCATTCGTGCAGGCTCAGCAGACTCATTACCACTGCTAACAGAGAGCTCAGCCCTTCGGAGGTGGTGGTCAGCATGGGAGGCAGTGCCATGGCTCCTTGCTAATGCTCTGCTTCAAGAGCTCCCTTTGACCCCAGCTGCAATGCTGCTGTGGCGTCTCAGCTGCAGGGCATGTTTTTACAAACCCAGGATGACACCAGTCTACAGGAGGTGCATCCAGTAAAGATAAAGTATGTGCAGGGGGAAAGGAGTTGGGCTATGCTAGGGGTTAAAAGCTCATCTAATGCAGCTAGCAGTAGCATCTGTATCACTGGCACCTGGCTGCATAGTTAAATTATGGAAGAGAATAGGATGCTGGTTTGCAGCAAGTTTGGGGAAGATGGTGCCCAGTCTTACGGGTGCACCAGTTCCAGAGCAATGAGCACATGTGGATCACCCAGGAAGGTGCAGCTTGCTTTAAGCAAAAAAGCTGGTATGTGGCTTAGTTAAAGCAGCAAGCTTTGCTTGCTGGGTTGCATTCCTCACTGGTGTTGTCCAAGCCTATCACAGGCAATCGCATGGGCTTGGGTTGCCTTGCTGGTCCATCTCTGCTTCGTGAAACCTTTTGCTTCTTTCGCTGCGTCTTCTGTATGTCTTTGAATAGAAGGAAAATTCACGATAGCCATTTTCACAGGAAAGTCTCTCTTTGATGTTGATGGGACCATGGATGAGATCAGTGGATCCTCCTTGGAGGCCAGTGTTGCTGGGCTTGGACGGAAAGCTGGAACCCTTCCTGGTCTTAGCAATCTGGAAGTGCTTTATATTAAGCATGTGCCAAATACTAAAATTACTTTATTTTATGGGCACTCTTACCTACATGCTGCTTTCCTTTACTTCCCAGAACCAAGGGGTGATAGACAAAATGCCTCATTTTTGCAGGACAATAATTTCTTTTTCAAAGCATCTTCCTAAAATATGCCTGAAAAAAAATCTTCCATCTTATTCCAAGAGTTGGTCTATGTTATCACTTTACGGGTATTCAGAGGATTAGAAAGGTGAGTCGTGCTGGGATCAGAGCTGGATGCTTGTTTATTTGTGCACAAAAGCTGACCATGCTGGCTGACACTTTCTGAGCCATTTGTTTTCTGGGCACCCGGACCACTCGGGTTGGCGCTGGCTGCCCAGCCTGCCTCCAACGCTGGCCTGCTCTGGCTGAAGAGCAGTGGTTTACTGAGCTGTTAGGCTCCCTGGCTCTCAGAGGTCACGTCTGGCTCCTGAGAGCTGCGGTCAGCATTTCTCCTCCTGCTCCTTGCTGGAAGGGGATGAAGCAATGGGCAGAGCGGGGCTAGCAGCTGGGCTGTGTGCACTGCCAGCGCAGGCGGATCAGATCCTCTCCCCAGTACCATTTTCTAATTAAATATATACAAATTGCTGTACTGCATCATTAAATAGTCTTTATCTGTTTTGGGATGCTCTGCCTTATGCGATTCCAGTGGAAGGTATACTGCGGTATTGATCTCAGAGTAATCTCTACTTGGTAGTTAGTCACATGCCTCAAAATGGAGGGTTTAGATCCATTTCAAAGTTCCTGATGAGCTTTATTCCAGCACCAGCTGTTCTTATTCTGCATCTTGAGCTCTGTGTAGTTTTTGCTTCAGGGCTTTGCAGAAATACAGCTGGGGGGACTCAGTGCTGCCCCCGGACTCTGCCTGTGTGCAGGGGCGGGGAGGGGGGGAAGCTGCAAGAGCAGGAGGGTGTGCAATCTGCTTGGAGATTGTGCAAAGAGTTGCTGCTTGCAAAAGGGCACTTTCCTCATCCCTGCTCCCCTCCAGGGAGGGCTGCAAGAAACTCTGACTGGCATTTCTTGGGCTTGGGCTTTCCTGCAAGGAGAAGGGCGTGTTGTCGTGGGTGCTTCAGCACATCAGTGCTCATTTCCTGGCAGTCTGTGGGCTGATGATGATGTGGGGATGCAGAGATGGTGCTCATGTCCAGCTGGTTATTTTAGAAACCCATTTTGTTGGCAAAAAGACTTCATCCTGCCAACTTTTATTAATAAAGAATAGCCTTAAATAATGGCGTAAGCTCTGAGTGTGAAGGGATGGCAAGGATGCTTGTGATTCTACTAACAGTTTTCAGACTTGGATTTACATTTTGATGTCCCGCCTCTGCTCTGACAGCTGCTGTACTCTGCCTGGTGCAGCTGTGGACTGACAGTGGTGGTTAAATCCTGACTCACTGGGGCAGAAGCTGTGTGCACTTTCCGTGTAGGAACAGGCTTGCCCCTGTCACAGCTTGCAAGGCACTCATTACAGAAAGTGTCTCGCTGCCCTGGTAAGCACAAGTGACAGTTTTCCCATATGCAAGGCTTTTTATTTGTTTTCCTTCATTTGCTAGGAGAAGAAGAAGAAAAAGAAGCACAAGAATAAGCAGTCCTCTGAGTCAGACTCGGACAGCTCGGACTCGGACAGTGATGGGGCTCAGCCAGCCAGCAAAAGGACCAAGCATTCGGGGAAGCCCAGCAAGGCTCAGAAGAAGAAGAAGAAAAAGAAGCATAAGAAGCAGCCCCGGGATTGAGCAGGCAGGCAGGCAGGGGTACTGGCATTGTGAGTCCCTGGTGCACACCATGAGGAGCGAGCAGAACTGAATCAGCGCACCCCTTGCTCCAGAGACAAGGAGTTTCCTTCTCCTAAAAGTAATGTTCAGTGTGCGGTGTTACAGGTGTTGACTTTGATACAAGTTGTCCTCTGTTACTTTAGGCACCAGCTGCCTTTTTCTCCCACCAGTAGGCACTCCTGCCAAAATAGGCTAATTGCACTCCTTCGTCAGCACCTCTCCCATCCTGTAGCCTCATCGCTTCCCTGGGTAAGCTGCCAGCGCTCGGCAGCTCCCCTGGACAGTGTGGCCAGCTGCACCGAGCCTGCATGACATCAGCCCCCATCCAGTTGCCTGTAAAAGGTGGAGCTGCGCAGCCGTGCTTTCCCTGTCCCGGCATCGTGCTCAGGGACAGAGGTGGTTGTTGCTGGGACCTGTGTGGGGCTATGTCCTCCCAGCCGGTAACAGTGTGGAGCTGCTTGGCTTTGGTCTGCAAACCTTCCCCCAGCCTCACTCATTTCATATGCAAACATTGGGAGTGAAAAAGTAAGAAGCAAATGGGGGAGTAGAGGTATTTTAAGTAAACATTAACTGTGGTGTGTTTGCCGCCTTGCAAAGTGATGAAAAATAAATCTCTCCAATCTCCAGTTGTACTTTGTACTGGGTCTTTTCTTTTCTATGTTCCATGCTTCACCTTGGGCAGTGAAAAAATAGGGCTAGCTTTGTGGGAGGGGATGAGACCTGCATTAAAGGGTTTTTTTGAAAGTCCTGGCTGCTTTCAGAGCTTCCCCAGGGTGGGAAGGGGGTGTGTGATGACGTGACCCCTACGAGAAGCCTGGTGCCTTCTTGTAAGGAGCAACTGGACCATAAATCTTGTAACTGGAGCTGAAGGTCAGGGGGGAAGGGATGACAGAGGGCTGAACTGTCCTGCACTGGGTCTGTGGTTGCTCCAGGCTGCGGTGACAGCAGAGGAAGTCTGCCAGGAGCAGCTTGTCCCTGCTGGGCAGATGTGTCAAACGGGGAGCTGAGTTGCTCCTGGTGTCTACAGGGAAGTGAGAGTTGGGCTGGCGATTGCCTCTTAGCATAGCAGGAGGAGGACTCGGGGTCAGTGGAGGCAGCCTGCCCCTTTTCCCTGTGCTTTGTCCTTTCAGCACTCCTCACCCCAGTTCCCCATGGCTGAGTCCCCCCTTTTGGACCGGTTTCCTTCCCAAACCCAGACACAAGTGCTCATGACCTTGATTCCTGGCCCGGGCACTGCTGGGTGTGCACCATCAGCTGATGCTTTGGCAGAGAGTGAGTGCCTGCCTGCACTGGTGGTGGAAAGGTCGCTCTCGCTGGGATGGAGAGTGTCTGGATCCTGGATGATTGATGGCAGAGCTGCAGTGGGAGTAAACTAATATTCCCCCCTGAAAAGCACATTTCTAACTACAAGGACCTCTCTGATTTCCACAACTCAAAGAACTGGCTGAGACTGGCTACTGGGATCACTGGTCATTTAACCCCATTGCTGCCAGGGTGTCTGGGCTGGATTTAAGCCCCGTGTTCTTCCCCGTAGCCTGGCTGAGACTGGTGTGGTTCAATGCTGTGGGTGAGCATGTGCTAGAAAAGCCTTTTTCCAAGTAAACTGATCACAGAGCTGTAACAAGATGGCCTTTATTATTTTTCCATGTGGATTTTCCCATTATTAAAAAAAAACCCAAACCATGAAACCACCACCCAAGCCCCAAGCAGCCCCACGAGGTGATGGGGACGGGGCAGCCGGCGGCCCCAGCGGGTGCAGTGGGCTCCAAGACTATGGCAAACCGTGCCTGGCACGGGGCAAGGACGGGGGCGAATGCAGGACCGGGTGACAGGTGAGAGAGGTGGGGAGGGTGTCTATGTCGCCTTCTCGTAGGTGCGGGTGGAGACGACGTTGCCCATGGTGAGAGTCTGGTGGCAGAAACGGTGGTGGGGAGGTTAGTTGTGCCGAGCCGGTGCAGCTCCCGGCTTGCCCTGTGCCAGGCTGAACCCCTCCGATTTAAAACCATCTCTCTTTCCTTACCAGAATTAATTTCCCATCCTTCAGCTCCCGGACCAGCGATGTCTCCTTCCCATCCCACTTCTGCACGTGGACGAGTTTGCCTCCATCCAGCGTGACCTTGGACTGCAGGGAGAGAGCAAGACCTGCTGTTACCCTCTTCCCTGGGGTTTTTTGGCTCCTGGGGGCTTTGTCCCTTGGAGGGGACGATGCTGGGTGTCCTTGTGCTCACCCAGGAGCCCCGTGGGGCTCAGGGACAGGTTGCGGGTGCCACCGTTGGGATGCCCATCTGGCAGCATCCCTCCTGACTTTGTCAGCTCGGTTCGGCACAGGCCACATCCTGCTCTGTCTGCTGGCTGGGTCACGGCCTCGGCTGCCCCCCCGGTAACCCCGCTGTGGGCACCGTCACGGTTACCCTGCCCTCCCTGACCCAGGGCCAGCACAGGGAGCCCTGCCCAGGGCCACATCCTGCTCTGGGGCTGCCGGGACCTGATCCTGGCCACTCCCAAGCGTGGCTCACTGCCTCCGGTGCTGGAGGGATCAAAGAGGTGGGGCAGGTATCAGTGCTTTGAACCGGAGGGCCTGGCAAGGGTTTTTGGAGGGGCTGATCCAGCAAACACGCCTCTGCTTGCCGGGGCCGCTGTTTGCACAGCCGTTGCTGTTGACTCTGCCCCAGAAGCCTGGCCCTTGCCAAGGTTAGTGTGACAGCCGGCTGGGCGCAGCCGCGGGGCAGCACGGTGCGGGGTTGTGCCAGGACAGGCAGCGGCACCGGCTGCCCGACCCCATTTCTGCCCCGTGCCCCCCACCCAGCTCCTCCAGAGCCGGGTGCTGCCTTTCAGGTGCTCCCCATAGCCCAGGTCCCCACAAGGTTTGGGTGCCCCCCATGGCTCGGGGTCCCCCCGCCCCAGAGCTCAGGTCTCCCCATAGCTGGGTTGTACCCACTGCTCAGGTGCCCCAATAGCTTGGGTCCCCCACAGCCAGGGTCCCCCACAGCCAGGGTCTCTACACACCTTGGGTCTCCCCACAACTCAGCTCCCTGCACAGCTCGGGTGCCCCACAGCCCTGGACCCCCCTCATCCTGGGTGCCCCATCACTCGGCGCACCCCACAGCGTGGCAGACCCCACCTGCCCCATCCCGCGCAGCCCCATGGCTCAGCCCCAGCCGTCCTGGCCCCCGCTGCCCTGTCGCGTGCCCTCTGGCCACCGGCCGAGGGGCGTCTGAAGGGCACGTCCCTGGGCTGCGGGCAGGAGCTCGCGGCAGGTCACACGTCTCGAACATAGCTTCCACCAGCTCCGGCAGGTCAGAGTGGCGGCAGTGCTGCAGGCAGGGATGTGCTGCCCTGTATCTGCCCGGCACTACTGCCTTGCTCGCTCTTGTCCCCTTTCAGCCTGTCCTCACTTTGTGCCCAGCCCTTGCACTTGCTGCATTGGGGTCAGGAAGGGGTTTTGTGTCCAATGAGCCCCAAGGTCCCCTCCCTGAAGTGCCCCCGGGGCTGGGTGGGGGGCACGGGGCTGCCCGCTGCTCCATCCACAGCAGCTGGGAAACTAGGAAAAAGTAGGGGCTCGATCAGTCCTGCAAGGGAAGATGTCTGTGCAGGATGGGAGAGGCCATGAAAGAAGCTCTGACCTGTCTTGAGGTGTTTTTTTTCCTTGCTTTTACAGGGAGGAACAGCCTGACCCGGGAGGCGTTGGCCTCCTCAGAGACCCCTGGGGAGGCATCAGCCCCTAGGGAGGCATGGGCCAGGCAGGATTGCCCAGCTGCTCCATCCCTGCCTGCAGAGCTGCCTGCTTTGTAGGCCAAGCCAAGAGAGGGCTCAACAAAGAGGTCTTGTGCCCTTCTCCCCCCCTGCCGGAGTGGGGACAACACTTGCTGCCACCCCACCACGTCCCCTTGCCTCCTCTTGAGCAAGCCCCTGGGCGGGCAGCTGGCATTTGCAAGCCTGGCTCTTGCACAACCTTCCCGGCAGCTCCAGGGCCCCGTGCTGCTCCCCGGGGGAAAACCCCGCTGCAAAATGGGGTGAGGTGGGGGCCCTTGGCTGGGTGAGACTGGGCTTGAACACCAGCTCCAGCAGGCAAAGTGGTTTTACCCTTCCAAAGGCAAAAAGGATGGAGCCCCAGAGCCAAGAGCTGATGGCCAGATTCAGTAGAGCCCACAGACCCTTTTTTGGGGGTCTGACACGATGGGGACGGGGGCTGGGGGCTCACCTTGACGTGTCTGTCGTCCGCCGTGGTCTCGTCAAACTCCTCGCCCAGCTTGAAGCTGATCTCTGTGTTCTTGAAGGTGCTTTGGGTCTTCACTGTGATCTTGTCGCCCGCCACCTCGATGATGGTGGTGGGTTTGGTGAGGCTGGCCACCTGCCGGGTGGCGAAGCCCACCCCTGTGGGGTGCAAGGTGGGGGAGAGCTGAGGGTGCGTGGAGGGGCAGGATGCGGCTGTCAGCCTCTGGTCCCCACTGGCATCACCCCAGAGCTCTTCCTTCCTGTGACAGTGGGGGGTGAACCCCAAAACTGCTCACCACTTGTGGTCCTGGGGGGCTTTATGTGTGCCCACTGCGCCTGGGGGGGCTCCAGGGCAGGAGCGGGGAGGGGGGGGGCTGGGAACGCTTCCATTGCTTGGGGATGGATCCTGCACCAGCACCCACCAGCTCCAGGGCTGGGCAGGGTGGGGGGGCACTGGTGTCACCCCCCACTCCGCCTGGACCGCTCGTGGGTGGGGACCAACCCTGCCCAGAAGCAAGGCAGGGGCTGGGGCTGGGGGATGGGGAGCTCCGGGGCTGGGGCGGGGGGAAGGCTGAAAGGGTCCTGGGCGGCTCCCTGCACCCCGGTGGGGGCATCCCCTCCCTCTGCCGAAGGCTGTCCCCCGGGTGGGGGGGCAAGGGAAGGATGAGACCCCCCTTACCCCGCCCAAGCCCCCAGGCATAAAGCCCCAGAGCCCCCCATAAACCACCCTGCCCAGGCAGCAGCGACCCCCCCACCGCCTGCAGCCACCCCCAGCCAGACCCCCGTGTGCAGGGGGCTCGGCCAGGCAAATTGGGGGGTGGGGGAGGTGGTAGAAAAAAAAGGGGGTGATGTCGTGAATCCAGCCCCCCCCCCGCACACCGCCCCACTCACCCAACGCCTTCATGTACTCATCGAAATTGGCCGTATCCACCAGCTTCCAGGTGCCCAGGAAGGCGTCAACCATGGCGAGGGGGTGCAGGGGAGGGGGACACACACACAGAGCCACACGCGTGTATGGGGGTCCCGGGGGTCCGGCTGGCTGTGAGCGTGGCACTGCACCGCCCAGCTCGCAGCTGCCTGCCGGCCTCGCAGCCGCCTTAAATAATGTCCTCATCACATGATTGGAAAGAGCACAACCGCACTCCAGAAATACTCCCCGGCAGCGCTGCCAGCGGCCACCTCAGCCCGTCATCTGTCACTGGCCACCAACCTCTGCCGAGATCCCCTGGTCGCGGAGGGTCAGGTTGGGTTGGGTCAAAGATGGGGAGACCAGAGTGGGTCAATTGTGTCACGAGTTGTGTACGGTCTCTGCACTGGTGGTGCGGGGTGGTCAAAGGGCATGGGATGTGGGGAAACTGAGGCAGAGCAGAGCTGGGCAAAGCAGGTGTGTGCCCACCCCATGGCTGCCCCAAGGCGGGGAGGGGTGGGTGCGGGGGTGGGTGCTGCCTGTGGTCTGTGGGTGGTGGGGCATGGTCAGGACATGGGGACACCAGCAATGGCAGTGTCCTTCAGGATAATGTGTGCTGGGGACAGGGAAGCTGAGCTGGGGAAACTGAGGCACAAGGAACAGCAAGTACTGGGGAGGTCGGGGTGGGGTGGGGTGTGTGTGTCAGGCATCCAGGGGAGTCTGGGGACACATGTGACCCCCACCTCTGCTCCGTGTGTGTGGGGACAAGTGTGACCCTGTCCCTGCCCTGTGTGTGTGGAGACTCTGGGGACACGTGTGCCCCAGGGATGCTCTGTGTGGTGGGGCGATACTGGGGACAAGGCCAGCCATGGGGCTATGGGACCCACAGCATGTCCCCCCCCTCACATCTCCCCTTGCTTTGGGGTCCAGTGGCAGCAGAGTCAGTGCCAGTGCATCCCCCAGTTCCCTCCCAGCATGCTGGGGGTCACCTGTGGCCATGGGATTTGGTGTCCCCTGCCCCCCGGCTCCCCGGGGACATGCCTCCTCTTGCCCCTGTCCCCAGGCAGTGGAGGGTCCCAGCTGGGGGAATTGGTATCCTCGAGCTCTGTGGCTGCAGTGCATCCCCCCATCTTGGGGACATGGGTGTCAAAGTGACCAGGTCCGGGAGGGACCTGGGGACAATTTCTCCCTCTCCCTGGCCCCAAGGTGTCACCACAGATACCCAAAAATAGCCAGGAGCTCGTGTTCAGCCTCCTCCCGCTGGCACTGCCTCCGAGCAGGACCCCCTTGCCTCCTGTCCCAGGGGGGACAGGCACCAGACCCCACAGGATGGGTGTCCCCCTGCCCCCGATGGGACACCGCACAGGGCACAGCTCCCCAGGGAAAGACAGACGATTTATTCCCTGGACAAGGCTCCGGGGAGTAAAAGCCCCAACTCACACGCACCCACCCAGCCCTGGAGGGGACAAAAAGGGCAGGGGCTGTCCCCTGTCCCCTCACCCTGGGTGTCGGTGTCCCAAATCTGCACAGCCCTGGTTCCCACACATGCTCCCAGCCTCCCCCCAAGACAACAGGACCATAAGATGTGGATGTTCACACGTGTGACTGACCACACACACGGACACCCACCCACAGGAGCACCAATACATGTGGACACCCATGCTGACAGACATGCACTCATGCACATGAACACGTATGCACATGGCTGCTCACGCGCATGGACACCCACCTACAGGAACACCCATGCACAGGAGCACCACCCCACCCCCCCGGACACCCACCCACACCAGCACCCCCCCCAGACATCCCTGCAGACAGACACTCACACACACAGACACCCACCCACAGGAGCACCCAAGCACATGGACATCCATGCACATGGACACCCACCCACCCACAGAAGTTCCCATGCATGTGGACACCCATGCTCACAGAGACCCACCATGCACATGGGTGCCCATGCACATGAACACCCATGCACACAGCTGCCCATGCACATGGACAGCCACACAAATGAACACCCTCGCACATGGGTGAGCACCCATGCACATGGACACCCATGCACATGGACACTCATGCACACAGACACCCACCCACAGGAGCACCCATGCACATGGACACCCCCCCTGCACACACATGCATGCTGACACCCATGTGCACAACACCCACGCACATGGATGCACAAAGGTGCCCACACATGTGGGTGCTCCATGCACAGAGGCATGCACGCAGACACCCATGCACATGCGTGTGCATGCACACACACGGATGCCCACCCACACGGATGCCCACCCACACATGACACTACGTCCTGGCCAGGGCTGGCCTCCACACCAAGGGACGGGCAGCTGGTGTCCTTGCCCAGGAGCCCGGGGGTGGCCAGGGCCACCCTGGGGTGCTGGGGATGGGTGCTGCTGGACATGGTGGCCCCGTGTGTGGCCCCGCACAGCTCTCCCAGATCTGGTCACCACCTGGGTGGTGGCCAGAGTGGACCTGGGCTTTGAGATTTATTTGCTGGTCCCACAGCGACAGCTATAGGTGACCATCTGCGATGGAGCTGGGTCCAGCACAACGTGGAAGCGCTCTGCCCTTCTCCAGCCTCCAGCCAGCAAACCCCAGCCTGGGAAACCAGCCCCTGCCCTGGGCAGGATCCGGGCAGCTCAAGTCCTTCCCGGCCTCTCATCTCGCCCAGCTTGGGCAGGAGGGTCTCCATCCCACCCACTAGCAGGAGCGGAGGTTTTGGGGAGCATGGCCGGAGCCTGGGAAAGCCCGACTCCATTTTGTGCACATCCCCAAAGCGCCGCAGGACCTGGCTGGCCCCGTTTGCTGCTGCTTCTCCCTCTCTGGGTTATCCCCAGGGACAGGGCAGGGATCCCAGGGCTGCGGGAGGGGAGCAGGCATGGGGACCCATGGGTGGCCCTGGCATGGGGAGCTGGAATGATGTGCAGGGCTGGGGATGCCCAAAACAGCATCACCCTGCTTATCCCCCCCAAAATCACCGGCATCCCCCTGTCCCCAGGAGCTGAGACCCCCGGGGCAGGGACCACCCTGGGATTCTCTGCTCCTCGGTGGGAGTCCTCAGCAAGGTGCTGGCTGCCTTGGGGTTGGAGGGGGGGGAGGGCTTTGCTTAAGGGCTGGGGGGGGCTGTTGGGGTTGTGCAGTGCTTCCCCCCCCTTCTTGAAAAAGGCTCCTGGATCACACGGGAAGAAAGGCCAGGAGACGGAGGTGGTACCCAAAACATCACAGTGAACACCACACTCAGCTAGAAACACCCGCGGGCTGCTCCTGCGACGAGGAGAAATGTCCCCCCGGCGAACCCCCTGTGCTCGGTTCTGCCAAATGCCCCAGAAGAAAAATATTCCTCCCCCCCGGGGAGGCAAGAAAATCCCCTCCCCGACGTCCTCACCCAGGGCGTGGGTGAGAATCGCCCCTTCGTCACGGCAGGTCCCCGCCATGCGATGCTCCCCCCACGGCGGGGGGGAGATGACACCCGACGGTCTCGCCGCCGTAGCACCGAGGAAAACCCAGCGGACTCCGGCTGTGCCAGGAAAGCTGGGCTGATGCTCTGCAGCCTCCTCTTTCCTCCGCTGGTCAGCAATGTTTGCCCCCGGGAGCGGGGTTAGGACGTGTCCTTCAGCTCGGGGCTGGGGGGCTGCGGAGGGGGCACCTCCGTCGAGGGCGACTGCATCTCCTGGGCGCTGCCTGCGAGGAGAGACGAGGGTATGAGCGACTCTGGTTCCTGCCCGCCCCGTGTTGTCCCCCATCTTCCCCATTCCCTACCTGCGTTCAGGGACATCTCGGCCAGCTTGAGGGGCAGGTCAGAGGGGCTGACGCCGGCCGGCGAGCCCAGGATGTCGGGCAGGGCATTGCGCCGGCCCGTTCTCCCGGAGGATGCGAAGTCCAGCACGGGTTCCACCTCAGTCATGCTAACCCTGGAGAGACACGGTCCCCTCTGCGTCAGCACCGCTGGGCAAGGTGGCCGCCAGGCCCTGAGTGGGGAGGGTGGCTCTGGTCCAGGCAGGATGCTCTAGTTCAGGGCAGGCAGCATCCCCTGCCTGCAGCTGCCCAGGGAGCAAGGCTAAGCCCTCTACAATCCCCTCTGCCCACCCCGACTGCAGGCTCTCCAGGAGCAAAGGCAGGGACCACCCTGCCCACGGGACTCCCCCGTCCCCAGCGTTGGCACCTTTGGGTGCCGTGATCTCCGCTGGTCACCGCATCATGGAGGAAGGGGGGTCCTCAGGGGTCCCGCTAGCATCCCCCCACCCCCAGCAGCCTTACCGGGCACCCTCCAGCCTGGCCTGGCGCTGCGTCTCACCCGTGCCCAGGCTCCTGCTCCGCTCCCCGGCCTGGCGGTTCCCCCTCCCGACGTCTCCCAGCCAGTGAGGGACCCCACGGGAGACGGGGACTCCCGGCCGGGTCCCCTCCGGCTCCAACCTGGGGGAGGCAGACCAAGGGGTCAGCGATGGGGCTGGTGCCAACAGGGTGTGAAGAAGGGAGCGAGGGCCAAGCCTGGGGGTGGGAGAGGCTGTGTCCCCATGCGGGGCACCCATAGCACCCAGCACCCTCCTCCCTGGGTGGCTCCACCAAGCCGGACTGTGAAGGGCAGGGACCCCTTGTCCCTGGTGGGCAAGCAGGAGGAGGGGACGACAGCAGGGGATGGATGGAGAGCAGGGATGGGGACATGGAGATGACACGCAGCTGGGAGGTGGGACAGCAAGGGAGGCTGAGAGGGCAGAGCAGGACTGGCTGCAGTGCCAGGGGACAAGGGCACATCGTCCCCAAACTGGGGACCCCACTGTGTTCCTTGAGGAACAGCTCTTGCTGAGCCAGGGCAGGCACTGGTGATGCTGGAGTCTCCTCGAGCGGGAGGAGGGCTGTCCCAGGAAGCCTCCAGCACTGGGCACTGTGCAGATCCCACCGGCATGGATCTGACCCGGTGCATGCTGCTGCTGGGACCTTACTGGGGTGTTTGCTCAGTGCTGGTAAATATTTTGGGCTTTTGCAGAAGGGTTTTGCAGCTGCAGGCAGGAGGTAGCACAGGACCTTGCAGGGACAGGGGTGGCCTCTACCCTCCCAAAACCCCCTCTGCCCATTCATGGGGCATAGGGACCCCCAAGCCATCACCCCAGCAGACCCAGTCCCTCCAGGTCAGGCATTGGGGGCAATG